GCTAGCCCGCGGGGGGCAGCGGGGCTCCCTCCCTTCGGCTGGGCTCGCGGCGCTGAAATAGGCCTTGTGGTGGGTGGGCAAAATAAAGTTACGAGCGGAGGCGTGAGTTGTGCAAACAGCCTCAAAACCGTGCGCCTCTCACGCTGGGGTACGACCTGGGGCACGACCAAGGCTGCCCGCTCTGCTGGGTGGGTGACAACTCAGTCGCACCGGCTGCCCGACACCCAGAGCGTGCATCTTCCCTTTGGAGCTAGGAAAAGCTACGTTCCTTCTTCTCAAACCAAATCCTGCTTCCTAGGAAAAAGGGGGAAGAAAACCAGGGGAAACCTGGCTTAAGTAAGAGAAAAGGTATCGAGTTAGCTATTTTTATACAGTGCTTTTTTTTTTTAAACTCGAGGAGCTTCAACTTGCCTAACAACAAGTTGAGGTTATACTGGCTAAAAGTAATTTGCTTTTCCCTGAGCAGCTATTCTTAGAGTGTCCCATCTTTGTGTCCTCTAAAACTTGTGGGATCTCACTTACGGAGCACAAAATGTGCGGTTTATTTTGGGCTCTTGGAAGGGGGCTGGGTCCAGGCCCTGCCGCAAGCTGCTCTGGAGAAAAGCTGCTGCTCCAGCACCTCGCTCCTGCCTTTGCTGCAGGCTAAGGACCACAGGTTGGGGTGGTCCGCAGAGCTCTGTGCGGGCTCATCTCTTGCCTGCGTAGAGTTAAAGCCTTTGTGTCCCAATTTGAGTGTTATATGATGGAACAGCAGTTTTGCCTCTGCTCTGTACCTGGGGTGATGAGTTCAGTGTTAATGCTGCGCTGCGGAAAAGTGCGCTTGAGCTCTGAGTGAACGGCACCAGAGGGGAAGGAGAAGCTGTAGATCCAGAAGCTTTTAAAAGTATTCACTGAACCCTGCTCAGGGAAAAGCAAGGATGGCTTCTGTTAGTGGCCACGGGCATCATGCTGAAGGAGTTCACAAGTGGCGGCTTTGTGGTAGGAGAGCATCCTAGGAGGCTGTGGTGACAGGAGGTGTCTGGAGAGGCAGTTTCCAGCCCCTTGTAATGGTCCAATTTATGTATTAACCCCTGAAAAGCATCTGGGAACTTTGCCTGGATTATTGTCCTTATAAAGGAAAGCTTTGGGTTGCAGGACAATAAAGAAGCTGCCAGGCTGAATTAAGCAAGCTGCCCAGTTAGTGCAGCGGCCTGGGTTTAATCACCCATCAGAAGGCACTGGAATGACTGCAGCGAATTGCCCTGCAGCTTTCTTGGCCTTGAAGGAAGCTTCTCTTGCTCATTTGTGATTTGTCCATCTTGGGTTTTGAGGCCTGTGGATCAACTGGCTTCAGATTTATCTGGTACTCAGAATATCCTTTTTTGTGTAGCTGGTACTATTTTTTTTCCCCTTTTCCAATCCTGTTAGGATTTAGAGTAAGTAACACTGGGGATGGGTGTATTGTGGTAAGGTGGTGTCTCAAGCTGACATGAGGCTTTTCTGATTACATTGCAAGGTGTCAAGAAAGAACAGACCTTCTCTGCATGCTCCTTCCATCCGTCCCTTGTTGCTCCCCCAAACTCCCACACTTTCTTAATTAATCTTGGAACTCTGCTTTCTCTCCGACACGAAGGCTCATACGGCTGGGGTGGTCCCTTGTCCCAGGCAGCGGGTGCTGCTGTTGGATTGCCTGATGACCATTGGTCTGTGCTGGGCTGCTGCTCTAAAAATAAGAGGCTCCTTTGGTGAGGTCGTAACTGCGAAGCGCTGCCTTACAACGCCCTTGGTGCAGAGTTTCACATACTGCAGCTAGGCCAAGACTGCGTAGGTCCCGTTGGAGTTACTCCTCCCCAGCCTTGTCTGGCCTGAATGTTTTTGGCAAGAAATTAACTACTACATTGAGAAAAAGACGCTGAGCACATCTGTGATGGAATCGTGTCAGCATTTTAAAGCTAATTTGGATTAGAGGGAGGTGTGAAGTTATCCTGAAATACCTATTGCACTTGCTGTTGGATCAGTCTTATTCTGGGATAGGAATGCTTGTTCCAATTTAGCTTAATCCTTTTTCAAAGCTAACTAATCTAAACCAGGCCAAGGCACTCTTCTGGAACGTGCCAAAGTGCCGTTACTCAAAAGAAACCTGATGTGCAGAGAAACTCGTCGTCCGTTCCTCTTTGTGAATACGGTTGTGCTGCTCTGTACGGAAACCCTATGGGGCTGTGGCTGGGTAGCACACTTCGGTGAGTGAGGGGAGCAGACCTAGAGAGGGAATTAAGGTTTTAATTAGACAGTCACTTTTATCAAAGGAATTTGGGCTATTTTTGAAAGTGAGAGGACCGGATCCTCCTCCTCCTTCTCTTGCACCAGTGGTGGTGTGAGCAGCTCTCTGTGAACCAGCTGACAGCTGATCCTGCAGAACGGGGGTGAGGGTTCCCCGGCTGGCTCGCTGCAGAGCTCTGCAAACACTAGTGTCGACACAGAAGGTGATGGATGCGGGGGAGAGCAGGGGTAAGCTCTAAATCCAGCCTGTAGTTCTGTGGGATTACAGCATGCCTGCAACCACGGCCTGGTAAAGGCACGCAGTGTCTGCTGATTCAGTAACGTCCCTATTAATGAGAAGAAATTTCTGCACCTCGCTTCTGGTTGGAGTGCCACAGTGGAGAGAAAGAAGTTTGCCTCCTGTCTTTAAAGAAAAGTTTGAGATAATGGTGGTTCTGCCATCAAAATAGCAACGGGGTGTTTTGAAATGCCTCAAGGGAGCAGGCAGCAGGCTTCGGGCTGTACTTGGCTGGGCCCGTTTCGATTGCAGTTGGCATATCGGAGTGATAAATCACCGTAACGTTGACAGGAGCTCAGTCCCAAGCTGAGTCGACGGGTGGAGGAGCGAGATGCCTTTCAGTGACCTGCTGCTTCACAGTAAATCCTATTCTGCGCAGGACTCGGGGGATACGTAGGGATTTGGAAAGCGGATGCCATGAGTTCATCTGACTGAAAGGGACCCTCTGGAGTTGAGTCACAATAACTTGTACCTCCCCACTGGTGCTTTCAAGAAACTTGGTGAATAAAACTGTGGCATTGATGCGTTCCCTTTCTCTTTGTGATGGACTATCTGCTTCCATCTGAGAGGGAGAAAGAGAAGGGGGTCAGCAGTGAGGTCGGTGCTGATGCTATGACAGAATATGGACTTTACACAGTAAAAAGCTGGAAGCTGCAGCAGCGTAGCAGTGGACACAAGTAGCTGTGCAACGTGATGCCCAGAGCTCTGGCTCGTGGGCTGACTGGGGAGGGTGAGGGGAGAATGCAGATGACGCATTTGATTTTTAAAAAAAGTGGATAGTGTTGACAGAAACCCTATCTTGATTAAGGGTGGTAGGAAAGCATTCGATTCCAGCCGTGTCTTGAGCTCAGTTACAGTTGGTTTTGGCTCCGATTCTTCTGTTTGCCTTCTTTGGGTCCTACCCTGACATCGTCGCAGTCATGTAGCTGATGCTTCTCTACGGGTATTCTTCCCCTTAACTATTGCAATTCTGTGCTGGGGAACTGAAGGCTTCTCGGTGCAGCCAGCTTTGGGAGGGAGGGCTGGTGATTTACTCTTGGACATTTTCTTATTTACAGAGCATACCTTCGGGGTTGAGCTATGTGTGGTCTGCCTAGGCAGATGGTTTAGGTCTGAGACTTGTGGATTAAGAATAGGCTGCTTTAGAGTCAGTTGGACTCATAAAAGCAAAGTTCAGGTGATTTCCTTGGAGTGTTTTAGAATACATCCCCATGGGCTTTGCCTTGCAGCTGCACGAGGCATCATGAAAGCATGAAAACACCTTTGCAAAAAGGTTCTGTTACCATTTAAGGGTTTATAGCTTTGTGGCTGGCTTTATTCCTGTTCCATTGAGTTTAGTATCACTTGTTGACACAGGGACTCCCCCTGCTGTCAGTGCTCCACTAATTAACTGCAGGGACCGCTCTCAACACAGGGCTTGGGGTTTGTTTGCAGCCTGGCCAGTGCTGGGGTAGTGCTGTGCAACGTGGCAAGGATTCTATGCTGCCCTTCTTCCTCCTTTTTGCCCCGTAACAATACTCCACAGAACTCTTCTTCCCGCTTTGGAAATCAATTTGCTCTGCAGAAGAGTGTGTCTGTGTCATTAGTTCTTGTTTGTAGCCCTTCAGGGGGAGAAGGGCTGCACTTTGCAGCGCTCTGGGGTCAGCCTTACTGCTGGGCTCTTGCTTCATCAATCTGTGCCTGGGTAAGGGCAAGGACTCTGCCTGTGGTGAGGGAGGGAAGGGTAAATCAGTCACTCTAGAAAAGCTTTGTACTTTACTTCCTTTTAAAAAGATACAATTCTAGCACCTACCAGTACAAAGAAAACCTTCATGATTTGATCTTTTTGATAGCTTTGAACCTGCAAATGTCAACAGTGATAAAACTTCCTTAGCTCTGCCAGTCAGCAGTAGAACAAAACCAGCATTGCTTGCGAGGCGCTCTGTCTGAGGGCTGTGGGTTACAGGACATGAAAAAGGCACCACAGGCTGTCCCAGCGGCTATCTAGGAACTGTGCAGAGGAAGAGGGGTGGAGGGCAATTTAGCTGACACTTGCGTTGGGGTTTGGTGGAACAGGTGACTGATGCTTGTTGTCTGAAGGACTGTAGCAGCGCAAGCGGAGGACTCGCGGGGACAGCGTGACGGCGAAGATGTCTCGCCCAGAATCTCGCTATTCCTTTGATGTCCCAAACCCTTGCATCAACTTTGCGACTCTGAGCGATGACGATACGCACAATGCAGACTCCTGGTTTGGTAAGTTGCTTCCAGTCCTTGATTTGTTTTCTCTTTGGGCAAGGGCTTGGCGTGATCCTTGCTTTGGGCCTGGCTTCTGCGCCAGTGGATTAGTCATGTTGTTAACTGCAATCACTCATCATGCATGGGTTTGTTTTGGTTTTGTATTTAAACTTTGATTGTCATCTGTAACTTGACAGATGACTTTGTTAACATCCTAATGATATTCTGAGGTATTGTTAAAAATTCCTAATGTAGTATATATAGTGAAAGTCTCTCTTTCTTCACAGACCAAAAAGCTAATCTGGAGAATGTCCCTCCTGCAGAAAATCTGGCAAAAGTCTTGCAGAACAGCCCTGCTTTTTCAAAGCCTGGTGTTATTCCCTGTGACATGACAGAAGACAAAATAACAACGAGTAAGCTGGCATGGTGCAGGGGGGAGAGAATATATTTTACTTGTTTTCCACTGGCAAAATGAAAAGGCCTCGGTCTGGCTCTTTTGGGACTATCTTAACATATTGTTGTCTAGGAAGGTCTCATGAGGTTTCCCTTTAGCATTCCTCTGTGTATGTGTGTATTTGCACTGACATTTGTCACTGTTCTCAGCTGAAGGCCATGGTGAAGAGGATGGTGAAGCAGAATGTGCGCAGGGCAACGTGGTTCCTCAGAATATTGTTGGATCCCTGACAAGCTGGAGAGCTGCTGCTCCTGCAGGGGCCCCTGAAAGGTGAAATACTTATATTCAGTTTGCAAGAAGGTTGACGATGGTGTAGTTAAGCAGGTCCTTGCTCTCCAGATCTGCAGTTCTGGCTGTTCTTGGGCCATCCTATGGGTCTGAAGCTCTCCAGCACAGAGATCATGTACGGGGACAGCTGATCTGCTTGCTCAGCTGGAGGGACAATCTCTAGGGGTGGAAATGCAATGCAGCGTTTCTCATACTTGTCAAATGAGACTCGGTAGCACTAGGAGCTTCTGGAATGCGAGGACATCTGAAACTGAAGTGGCTTATAAAGTTTCTTTGTTTATATCTGCCCAAGCTGGGCAGAACTTGTTATTGATGTGAATGTGAGGGGCTCTGTATGTTCATATATACCAGAGAATATTAAGTTTATGGATTGTTGAACTTTAATTCATGCTGCATTTGGATTGTTGTGTTAAACACATGTTTTGCATTGGGGGCATGTTGGAGTTAGGTGGTGCACTGATGTTAAAAGTGTTACACAGACTGTGTATGTTCTCAGACCCGTGGGAAAACTAACCTCCGATTTCTGTTCTACTCTAGAGCGGGTAGAAGACGGGCCACAAAGCAGCGAAAAACCCAGCAACGCAAACAGCCAGCTAGAGTCAAAGTAGGGAGAAATGCTAATGCCTTGGTGGATAAGGAAGAGGTTCCACCCCTGAAAAAAATGAGAATGTAGGTCATGAGAGTTCTTCTGTTTGGGGCTGGGAAGGGGGATACAACTCCTTCTTTGGGAAGGATCTCCATGTGACAGAGAGGGTTCTCACAGGATGGTTAGGGGGAGGTGAACGAAACCTGATTCCTGATACTGGTTTCATAAATAAGAAGAAATGGCTGTCAGACCTGAAGGAAACCCTCTATTTGGAGGGAGAGATGTGAATGAAGTAAGCTTGGGTTTCTTGAGCTTCTTATTCTGTATTTGGTGTCTGTCAGTTAGCTTTAAATTTGGCTTAGCTTCTCCACTGGGAAGACATCAGGCAGTCATAAGCTATGAAAGAGTCTCAACTAAAATATTTCTCAAATTAGCTTAACTGCTAAGATATCATATGGTGTTAAGCTTGAGGTCAGGAAATTGAAGCGTGATCTTTCAAACGCTGCTGTACCTAGATGAACTACAGTATACCTACCTCCTCAAGAAAAGCCCAAGTTCCAAAAACTCAGTAATTCATCTTCCCTTCTACAGCCTTAGAGTACCAGGGAAAAGTAGATGATCTATACCTGGGTGCATGGTGAGGTAAGGCTGGTCTGGTGTACCTTGGAACTCACCAGGTGTTGGGATGTCGTGCATGGTGGTGAGAGCTGCAGGTGATCTTTCATTTAGGGCACAGTTAGTTGGAGTGGTTTGCCCTAACAACTTGTTACCTTAGTTTTAGCAGCAGAGAGAAGCTGACAGAAGTATCCACAAAGAGAGAGCCCCTGCAGAATCCTGACCTCTCCCCAGGGAGAGGGAAAACCAAGCCTACCATGCCCTCCACGCCAACAACGTTAAAGTATGTAGCTTTCTTGTGACTTGTCTTGGCTAATCACAGTTGATTTAGGTGACAGCCCTGGCTAGAGTGTTTTCAACTTCAACTCAGCATGTGATGGTATCGCATTTAGTAAACACTGGATCAAGAGAACAATATTAGGATGAAATGTATTTCACCAACTGACCCTGTGCAAAGGAAAGCTCTTGCTTTTAATTTGAGGAAAAAATAGATTTTGCTAATGGATGAAGCATGCATACAGCAGATGCATATGCAGGATAGCAGTTAGCTGCAAGCTTTCTTGAGCAAACAAAATTCTAGCTGATCTTTTCTAAAGAGTATACTTTTATAATGAGTGATGCTCCTGCAGTGAAGTCGGAGGCAAGCGCCTTCCTCTGCGCTAACACAATGCTAGTAACTAGCGAAGCAGGAAGACTTATCTCAGTCTTTAACATGATTCTGCAGGAGGACCAACCTTTCTGGCAAGCTGAAGAGCACAGAGGAGCAGGAGCTGGAAAAGATGCAGCAGTTGCAGCGGGAGGTTATGGAGCTGCGGAAGAAGAACGAGGAGTCTATGAAAGCAGCTATTGCTGGAGCAGGTGGGCTCTAGCTGAATTGCAAATAGAAGCTGTGCTGGGCTCAGCTGGAGAGTAACTGTATTGTACAGCTCTATACAGCCAAATAGAAGCTGTGCTGGGCTCAGCTGGAGAGTGCTGTATAGAGCTGTACAATACAGTTAAAAACAAACATTCCAAATTTTGTAATAAGTATTAGGATTAGGTGGCTTTTAATGTAGATCAGCCCCTAAACTGCCTGGAAACATGTTGGTTTGGAGGCTTTTTCTATGTTTTGAAAGGGTATAGACGAGTTCTCCAAAAACTGTTGAACTTATTAGAAAGTAAATCTCCTTCCCTTCCCCCTGCAAGGCCTCCAGACCTTACCTGCTCTTTCTCCTTAGGACAACCCATGAAGAGAACTGCTTGTCAAGTAACAAAGCCAATTGACTTCCACTTCTGCACTCAGAATAGAATTAAACAACATGTGGAAAACCAGCCTGGGAACGAGTACAAGGAACTGGATTTTGTGGCGGTACTGAGAAAGCATCCTTCTTCTCCGGTGAGAACCAGAATATTGCCAGCAATCAGCTGACTAATTCTTGACATCCCCACCTTTCTGCTTTTGCAACACACGTGCTGCTGGTAACCCGCAAAGAGGGTTACCATAGGAGAGGCAAGCATTGTGCAAACATAACTGTTGGCTCACTGCGTATATGCATTGCCACAAGGCTCTAAAGACTTTTGAAAAGGGCTCTTTAATGTTGTATCTTCTGGTCATTATGCTTCATGCTTTAATCCTCCACTTCATACATGTTCCCAATGCGACTTGTGCATCTTCAGACAGTTATGACTAATGTTAAGTGTTACCTTCTTTTCAATAATGGGAAGGGACAGATACTGTGAATCAGTGGGGAAAGGAAACCTCATCAAAGCGTCCTGTGTTAAATGGCCATAATGACTGTAGTGGTTTTGTCTCCAGGGGCGAATGCCAAAGGGACCCACTGTCCCCAAGCCTTTCAATCTGTCCCAAGGAAACAAAAGAAAACTCGAAGAAGCCACATCAGAATATGTGTCCCTTGCTGAGCAGGTAGAAGCATTCCAGAAACGCACACCCTCTCGTTACCATCTGAGGAGCAGGAAATCTGATGAAGGTGAGCAGTCCTGGCTATGTCCAGCTGGGGGGCTGTCTGCAGAGACAGTGGTAGAGCCAGAACGATGCTGGGACTTGCTCCATTGAGCAAACAATCTGTGTCTGTGCAGGCCTTGCCATTAACTGCTAGTCTCTGTGACTTGAATTTATAGGCCCAGTTCCAGGAAAGTTGGTGAAGGCTCAGCTTACAAATGCTAAAACACCAGTGCTTCTAACAAAGCAGCGCTTCAGACCCGTCACCTGCAAAACTACAGCAGAGTTAGAAGCTGAGGAAATGGAGAAAATTCAACAGTAAGTACAGGTTTACTGTAGTCCTCCAAGAGGCAATTGTACCAATGCTGGAGATCTCTTTCAGATGCCAAAATACCACTTCTCAGGAATTCCCTTTTTGCATAAAAGAATGAGTAGCCTAAAACCACGGAGATTCTTTTAGCTTGTGCATAATCCTATGGCTCTGACTGTAGGGATGTGAAAAGTGGCCAATTCATTTTGAAAAGGAAGTGCCCTTAGGAGAGCTGATCTTGGGTTGAGCACAGCTTGTGATTAGCAAAGCAAGCCCAGTATAGCAGTACAGCCTGCGTACACTTCAAAACTCTCCTGTACACAAAGCTTTGGATTTCCAAAATACAAGGTTTTCCTTAAAGTTTTGCTGTTTCAAAAGCAAAGGAGAAGCAGCTAACTAGAGCTGCACACTACAGTGTGTGTGGCACAACTGCTTCTGTGCCTGACTTGCTCTTTTATGCTGTGAGAGAAGCCGTTTGCTAGAAGCTGCATCTTGCCATGGACAACATGTCAGCGACTGTCTCTGCCTTTCCTGCGTAGGTACAAATTCAAAGCACGAGAACTCAATCACAAAATCTTTGAGGGTGGACCACTCCTGCCGAAGAAACCCAATGTGAAGGAGCTCACACAACCCATTGGCTTTGAGTTGGAAATAGAAAAAAGAATTCAGGAGCGTGAGAGTAAGAAGCAGCAGGTGGAAGAGCACTTTGAATTCCATTCCAGACCGTGTCCCACGAAAATCCTGGAGGATGTGGTGGTAAGAAGTTCAGTAATACCCAGACCTGGGAATTAGGATTGAGGTGGCAATTAGCTTCAAAATGTCCGTAGCTGTGTTGCATTATGCATTTAATAATCTTCAGTAAACACTGTCACTAGGCAAGGACTGCAGTGGGTACATACTGTGCTATGTCGGGTTGTTTCTCTGTAGCGCTTTTTCTTGGCACTCAAGCTTGGGTAACTCCTTACCGGCTCTTCTGAACAGGGTGTTCCAGAGAAGAGAGTGCTTCCTGTTACAGTCCCCAAGTCTCCAGTCTTCACCTTGAAAAGCAGAACCCGAATGCCTGGCAGAGATGAAGAAAAGGTAACTGTTGTGAATGGGCTGTAGTCAAGCCTTCCGTCCCACCACGGTGGCTGCCTCGGCCAGCCTGCAAAGCCTCTGCCGGCTGGGTGGTGGTCTGGTTTGGTTAGCCCCTTCCCTCCAGAGGCTGTTCCTCCCGTGGTCATCTTTCTCTGTGCTGTTCCCTCCTAACGATCCAGTCGCTGCTACTTACTCACTTTACAGAAACTGAATTCTCATACAAAATGAAAGAACTCTATTTATACGCAAGGGCACTGGCTAGGGTTCCTGAGGTGTTGCTGCTATGAATGAGGAAAGTAAACTGCTTGGATTTCTAAAGGACGTTGCCCTTCCCTATTCTGTTACTGAGAAGGGCAGATACTGCACATGACCTTTCTTCTCCCTGCAGTCACTCTAGATCCCGGGAGGCGGGGAGCAGGATTCAGAATGCATCATGTCCTTCCTCCCTGCCCTCTTGTGAAGAGGATGTTAAAGAATTACAGTCTATATCTCACGAGTACTAGAACTGACAGTGGTTTGGAAAGAGGAAGAACTCGCCTGTGGTTCAGGATGCTGTAAATGGATACTTTTTGGATTACTAATTTTTGCAGTGTCCAGAGTGTCTGCTTGATGCTGTTGTGACCTGTATTAAAGGAACTTGAGTATTCATAGATTTGTTTGGCAGGAGGTGTGGTCTTTCTACAAAAATAAAAAAATCTGGTGCTGTGTTGGTTCCTAACACGAATATCCCTTTAGGAAAAAGAGGTGGTCCCCGTGATCAAAGCTAACCCCATGCCGCATTACGGAGTGCCCTTCAAACCTAAAGTGGCAGAGCAGAGGCACGTGGAAGTTTGCCCCTTTTCTTTTGATGCCCGCGACAGAGAGCGGCAAATTCAAAAAGAGAAAAAAATAGAAGAATTGCAGAAGGAAGAGGTAAGAACTAAAAGCTGCCTTGGATTCCACTCCTGAAGTAAAAAGGGTGGCAGGGCTTGCCTCTCGCTGCTGGCTGTTAAACTGCCAAAGCTTCGTGCCTTTGAGGAAGGGGCAAGAAATATTTCAAGTTTGTTTCTTTCAGGTGCCAAAGTTCAAAGCGCTACCCCTGCCTTACTTTGACCATGTTAAGCTGCCAGAAAAGAAAGTCAAAACCCCAACTCGGCCCGAACCATTCAATCTGCAGATTGATGAACGGGGAGCTGCCAAGCTCCAGAGCTGGAAGCAACAGGTAGGGGTGAAAAGGATGACGGGTGTGACCAGACCTAAAGCAGCAGGCGAAGCTGTGATCAACTTGAGGAAATGTCCTGCTGGAGTTGAATCAGGAGCTGAGTTTGAGCAATGAATTATTCTGTCCTTGGTGTGAGATTTGTGCTGGGGGTTGAGGATTGGTGGCTTGTTTTGGGGTTCTTCTTTCCCCTCCCTTTATGGTAAGTGACGGGACTTACCACAGCTGCATGAGCAGCTCTGGGGCATTTTCTAAGCCGCGAATAGGTGCAGCTGGATCCCTTTGACCACCTCTGTGCTTGGGGGTTTACAGACATAGAAATAATACGCTGCTTTTCTCATGAGAGGTCTACAGTGGACACCTGAAACTTTCTTCAGGCTATTTTTGGCAAAAGTAACCGGCAGGCAACAAGTGACACAACTTTTGGGCTTTAATGTAACTTCCTATGCAAATGATGTGATCTAAGTCAAGCTGGCTTTCCCAGTGTTGGGAATGCCAAAGCCAGGGGCGGGGTGGGGGGGGGAAATGAGCTTTTTGTTATGCCTGGTGCTTGATGGGCTTCTCTTCTCTTGCAGCTGGAAGAAGACTTGAAAAGGCAGAAGGAGGCGGCGTGTTTTAAAGCTCGTCCCAACACAGTGGTGTACCAGGAGCCGTTTGTGCCTAAAAAGGAAAATAAGCTGTTGTCAGGTGGAGTTACAAGTACTTGCTATGCAGCTTGGCTGATAATTGATGTGGTTAATGATGTTTAGACTGGCTGTTGCCTCTTCTTTATCAGCACAGCCAATAGTGCCATGCAGTTAATCAACTAATTCCCTAACAGCTTGCGTCCCCGGGGAGCGGGGGAGTTTCCACTGCCCCCCTGTCCTGCGCTAACATGGCAGCTGTATTTAACAGCTACGCTACAACTGGCAGATGATTGATGCCTGCTAGCTTGGGTAAGGGAGAACAGTACGCAGGGAGCTCCCCGCAGAGATGGCTGGCGTTTCTGCAGCAGCCATCAGTCTGTTCCTCCCATTGCTAATGAGATGAAGGCATCTACAGCTTAGGGCAGACTAAACTTGGTAGGGTATAGAACCAGCCAAAATCTTGCTTGTACTAACAGTTGTGTGCTTGCTCCCTCCCTCCTATGAGAACACCCGTGACGGGGTCACGTCTGCATTAACACTGCTCACGTTTGGGCATAAGGTTTTCTGTTTTCCTGAAGCCTGGAGGTATCTACTAACCACCCTTACAAGGTGAAGCGCTCCAGAGGGAGGCTTCCATTTGACACTAGTGCTGCTCTGCTTTACCTGACTGTCTTTGCACCAATGTTATCTCCTCTATTTCTAAACTTAGAGAGCCTTTCTGGTTCCATAGTTCCTGAAAACTTTGAGCTGGCAACAGAAAAAAGAGCTAAAGAGCGGCAAGAATTTGAAAAACGATTGGCAGATATAGAAGCCATAAAGGAGAAGCATCAAGAGCAGGTCAGACAGCAACAAGAGGAGCGTGAAAAGGAAGAAGTTGCTAAGCTCAGGCAAGAACTGGTAAGTGAGCTATTTCTGAACAGGGGCTGCAAAGTAACCCAAAGGGCTGTGCAAATACACAAAATGAGCTCGTGCCCGTCTGCAGCTGCATTAAGACTCTCTCCAAGTTTCCCTGTTGCAGACTGACTCCTCACTAACTTTACAACTGGCCTTAAAACAGGCAGCTCTGCTGAGATGCCTGATTTCCAGAGCTGTACACCCATAGTCATCGGAGCAGAATGATCTTTCTAAAATCCACAGCCCCGGAGCATGCCTTGTGTGTCCTGGTGGCTTGCTCCAGGGCCCTGGGCAGTGTGGTTGTCTTGTAGACAGATGCCTGCCTTCATCCCACCGATGGCTCCCCTGCAAGTTTCAGCCACTGCTTCATTTTGTCCTTGATTTTTTTTTTTTGTTTTTTACAGGTTCACAAGGCAAACCCAATACGCAGATATCGCAGCGTAGAAGTGAAGCCCAGTGACCAGCCACTGACTACGCCGAAGTCTCCCAACTTCTCAGACAGATTCCGGTGCTGATATGCAACCATGTGATAGTAGGAGGGAGATCCCATCCCTCTCCACTCTTGATAAGGATAAACCCCGTTGTTTTTATGTGACTGCTCAGTCTCAACTCCTAGACTTTGGTTCCGTTATTGTTATATTGAGTAGCTTAATGCCACCTGATGCAGGTGGCTGAGGCACGGCGTACAGGCAGTGGCATATGGTCTCCACGGCCTCGCTTCACATCTAGACATCTTGTTTTCTACAGACTAAACTAGGTTTTGATATTGCATACAAATGTTGTGTACTTGAACTAAATAAAACATTCCTAATCTGATCGCTGTCTCTTGCTCGTGGGCCGAATCCCTCTCCTGCAGAAGGCTGTTCGGTGACGGGCACTTGGTGAACATACAGCAATGAGCTGCCTCATCTCTGTACGCCTAAGGATGGTTTTTAAGTGTCTGTTTCTTAGGCTTTTACTTTGTATTAAGCTTGAATTGTGTTAAGCAACGTCAGGCTTCTGCAAGCCAACATTTTGCAGGTCTCACCTTGTTGATGTTTAGGTGAGTGTTAATACAAATCTTGCCCACTCTTTTTAAAGTGGTTCCCTGTGTAGATTAGAGCGTTAAACCTTCTGCTGTTTTATAGCTGGAGTCATTCTATTTGGGGAACCACTTAACTGGCAAATGCCTTGCTGGGAGCTGCCTCCCAGCACAGTTATCTTGGCTGAGGACGCGCTGTCTCCCAGCCAGTCTAGCGCAGCCAGCAGAACTAAATATAGAGCAAGCGCTCTAACGTGCTGGAGGACAAAACTTCCAGCACTGCGAGGAGGTGATCAAGTTTGGGTTAAAATCTACTAAGAATGGTTTCTTACCTTTGCCTTGTGTTGCGGTTTCCTACCTTGTAAGTCTGTGTTTTAGGCCTTTCCTTGGACTTGTCTTAAAGACAGCTCCAACAGGCTATGTGAGGGCAGGAAGGGGTTGGGGGTGCAGCTGCTCCAAATGCTGCTCCCGGAGGCTGCTGCTGCCTGCTGATCTGTCTCCGTTGCCGTTACCCATTCTGCTAACTCAGGTGATCCCAGGGTGCTGTTTCCTGAGCCGAAAAGGGACTTGCAAACAGAAAAAGCTGCTCTGGCAAGTCCCTGGAGCTGTGCTGGGAGCTGCTGGCAGGAAGGATGGGAGCAAGCCCTCTAGTTCAGGCTTGGAAATGCACAAAGCTCTGTAGGCTGGCCTGGCTCCTCATGGCTGCTCTGAACAGGGGAAAACGGGAAACAGAATTGGTGTGTCCGCGTAGGACAAACTCTGTATCTTGTTTGGGGGTTATGGCAAATGCTTGCTCTCATTTCCTCTGAATTTGGATACTGTTGGAGAAGTATTCTTAGAGCATGTGTCCTTTTATTTGGATTTTTTTATCTGAGTGCAGAAGAGGGAGTTCAAACTTGTTAGGTGTCAGACTTCAGCCGAGCGCTATGGCAAGAGGTAGTGTCTCAGAATCCTCGCCGAAGTGCATCAAGCAATTGCCAATGGTTTACTCCCAATCTGAGAGAACAGAGGCCGAAAGTCATCAGAGAGGTAAATTCAAGGATGTACACTTACTGTAGCTGAGGATGATGTTTCTGCAGGAATTGTCCTAGAGAGTGCAATGCTCAAAGGACATCGTTGCAGGACAGCAGCCGGCAGCAAGTGAGCGTTTTGTATGGGTGTCCTGGACTTCAGCGCTTCAGAGAGCACCGGCCTCGAACTACTGCTCTGCTTGGATTAAGAGAGGGAAAGTCACCCCTGCTGAAGCATAAGGATTGTTTAAAAGAATAAAAATGAAGGCATGGTGTGGTTAATAACTGGAGAATGAGGTGTTTTGAGGAAGGTGAGTGACCCTGCGACAGCCTGGCCTCTCTGAAATGGTGAGCTAAGCGACCGGGCAGCTGTTTGCCAAAGCTTTGGCTTTTCCAGCCTTGAAAACCTTGCTGTGGCCGTGGCAGAGCCAGGCTCGAACTGCTGACCCAGGCAGGCAGGGGGGCTTCAGCCGCCTTCCGCTGCCTTTGCCGATAGCCCCGTGCCACTGAGCTGAGGGTTACGGGGTGGGACTGCCGGCAGCCGCCTGGCCCGAAGGCTGTTTGTCACAGGTACCGGCGACAGCCCTGCTGACAGACAAATTACAGGAATGACTGGAGCAAGAGGAGCTTGTAGGCATCCTCTTCCATCCGCGGATGGGCGTGGATCTGACCAAAGGCACGCACATTTTTCCCTGGGTCTGCCTTAACCGTATTTCCATCGCAGCGGAGCAGTTCCATGAGATCTGCTGGACGGGGCTGGAACTCAAGCGTGCGCTCAGGGAAACTCCTGCTGCAGCCGGAGCAGGCAGCGTGTGGGCAGCAGCAGCAGCGAATATTTACAGTGAGTCGGAGGAGAGCCTGAATGATGATGAGCTGCAGAAGAACATAAAGGCAAGCGAAATAACGAGGCTGCTGAGCTGGGGCAGAGATCGATCCCCGAAGGATGGAGCAACTGGATTTCCGTGACGGCCCTACATGGCCTCTGCCGCAGACCTGGGGAAGGGTTTGTACGCCTGACCGCTTGTCAGTTTTTCCCAGCGGTATCATTGGGTCTAATAAAAGCTATTACCTCTTCCTGCAAGCACGGCTGCTTATATTCCTCATACACTGCAAACTTAGCGAAAGGGAGCCTCGGGCTGCTGTGCCCGGCAAGGGTATCGGGCGTTTGGCAGAGCTCTCCGGAGTCACCCAGTGGATTCTTGTGGGCTGGTGGCTTGGTTAGGGGCGGTTGGGGCAACCTGCCCTCTTCATTAGGGGGGGAAGTGGTGATGTGCTGGAAACACTGCTCTAGCAGAGGAAAACATGTGAAGCAGGGGTGTCCAGAGGAGCTGGATGTCAGTGGGGATTAGGGTTCGGTTGCGGCTTCAACAGGGAAACAGGGGCAGCTGACTTTTTTTTCCCCCCCCAGTAGAGTAGAAGTGGGAGAATAAAGTTATGGGACTGGGGCAGGAGACTGGGATTTAACTGAGTGCGGTCCCAGCGCCCACCTTGTAGGTTGACAAAACTGATGTAAAATCTATAATCTTGCTGTGCGGTTTTGCAAAAATCTTCTTGTATGCAAGGACTCAAAGCTCATCACCCTGGTGAGTGCCTGGGCAGCAAGCGGGGCTGGAAGGAGGGGTGGTGGATCTGAGCTGGGGCTGGGTACAAAAGCTTCCTCCCATGCATTTCTAGCTGAGCCTAGAGCTGGAACCAGCAGCAGCCACTGTGTTTGCTGGGCTTTTCTGTTGCAGGGTAGCTGAGAATTGCAAGATCTGGTGAGCTGGTGAACCAGATCCGTACGAAAAGGCTCGGTGATGCTCTCGAAACCGCAGCTTTGGTTCTTGCTGGGCTACCCGGGCTGCCAGCGTGGCCTGGTGTGAAGCTGGCGAGGACACCCTGCGTGTGGGCACGTCCTGGCGATTCGGATCCGCGCTCGGTGCTCCCTGCTGTCGCTGCTGGCAGCCACGCTGCTGTCCTCGAGCTGCTGTGTAGCTCTGGAAGCTCTGATGATGATGTTGGGATTTTTTCCCTTGTCTTTCCCTGTCACCTTGATGGGACCTGTCACGACACGATGGCAGCTGGTCCGGGGAAGTCCTGGGCGCTGATGGAGGTGGTTAAGCTGCTGACTGCATGCCTGGGTTGGTCCCCACCGGGACAGACAGGCTGGCTGGCTTGTGTTACAGTGGCACGACTGGGATTCAGGTGGGGATGTTGTTCTCGCCTGCCCTGCCGCTTGATTTAGACGGGGGATAGGGTTTCCTGGAGAACGGGCAGGGCTTGGCTGGGCAGAGAGCCTCCCTTACCCGTGAAAAGCATAAAGGTTAAAGTGTGCTGCCCAAGTTGTGACAACCGCGTAGCTAGGGAACCGGCGTGCTTGATGCTTTGCCAGATATTCCCAGGACAGGCTGTTTTCCAGCTGCAGCCAATGTGGGCTCTGGCTTAAGTTCCTGAATGGGGAG